GGAGGAGGCGGCGGCGGCAGCGAGGCCTCTCCTCCCCGCCCGCACGCGCAGGAGACGCTCTTGCACTTTCGGGGGGATTTAAACATCCCCCCGAATTTTTTTTTAACTTTTTTTATTTTTGTGCACATGTGGGGACTGCCCCACATGTGCACAAACCTCCCACTGCCCCCCAAGTGCCCCCAAAGTGCAGATATAGATATCCGCACGGAGGGGGCAACTTGGGTATTAGTATAAGGATATGGAGCAGTGGCTATTAGCCACAAGGTCTAGATAGGAACTCTCAGGCTGGGGCAAGTAATGCTTTGAATTCTTGGTGCTTGGGGGGGGCAACAGTGGGAGGGCCTCTAGTGTCCTGGCCCCACTGCTGGACCTCCTGGTGGCACCTGGTATTTTTGGCCACTGTGTGACAGTGTGTTGGACTGGATGGGCTACTGGCCTGATCCAGCATTGGCTTCTCTTATGTTCTCTGGGAGGAATGGTCTCTAGGCTGGAGCTCAGCTATAATTGCAGGAGGTCTCCAGACCACACCTGGAGGTTGTCAGCCCTACAGACTGCCAGTTTTGCTGAGTCAGTCTTTAGGGTCAAGTTTCCTTGGAACCAGTCACTGTGCCATTCCTTGGTTTTGATTTCATATGGCCAAATGAGACCTTGTCGTCTGGAGTCGGGACTCCACTAACCTTGCCACCCTGGGAGGGCTTGTGTTGAACTACAGGCCTGCAGAACTGTTCCAGGCAAGTAGTTGAAGGGCTGTCCTATAGGGTCCAGAGTTGTTTCCTGTTGCCCCAGAAGGTCGGACGAGAACCAACAGTTGGAAATTAAATCAGAAGAGTTTTTGGCTAAACGTTAGGAAGAATTTCCTGATACAGTGGTTCCTCAGTGGAACAGGCCTCCACTGGAGGTGGTGGGCTCTCCTTCTTTGGAGGTTTTCCAACCAGAGGCTAGATGGCCACCTGACAGCAATGCTAATTCTGTGAACTTGGGCAGATCATGAGAAGGGAGGGCAGGGAGGGTTTGTCTCAGTGCTTCGTTCTCGTGGCCCTTTCTTACACGCCCAGGGAAATGCTGATTGCCACTTTAGGGCCAGGAAGCAATTTTTCTCCAGGCCAGTTTGGCCAGGTATCCTGGAGGCTTTTTGCCATCTTCTGGGAATGGAGCAGGGATCACTGGGTGTGCGCGCGTGGGGAAGGTAGTTGTGAATTTCCTGCAATGTGCCCTGCAGGTCCCTTCAAACTCTATGATTCTATAAATCTTTCCAAGACTCGTTGGTTTAATGAGTGACAAAGTTCATTTGGTGACTGTAGATGAAATACTAGCCTGATACCCGAAGCATGGTATTTAACTTCAGTAAATCCAGTTATAATACTGATGATGTAAAGTTTGAAATGTAACATCTGTTGTAGGATTTCTATTGGAGAAGATTGTAGTGTAAAAAATGAAGTGAGACATACGTACTTTTCCCCCTCTACTGAAGGACCTCTCTGTAGACTGCTGGGGCGGCCTCCCTCATGGCATTAAGCACGCTGCAACCGCTGCTGCACCTCACAGACAACCGCCTGTTAGGTGTAGGAGGTGGGGGGAGTCTGTAGGAAGCCATTAGAGAGGCTGGGCCAGCATCACCACTAAGGTGATCCTGCTGGGGCAGCGTCCCTGATGGATTAAAGTATCCTGGTCCTGCTTCTACACCTGACAGACACCCGCCTGTCTGGTGTTGGGGGGATCATGTTTAAAGGCATCAGGGAGGCTGGGCCAGCAGCAGGGCTAAGGCAGTCCTGCTGAGCAAACCTCCCTGGCAGCTGTAAGCATTCCAGCTCTTCTCCTACACCTGGCAGGCAGCTGCCTGTCCAGTGTAGGAGGGGGAGGGGGGAGGAGTATTAGAAGCTACTTTGGAGGCGGGGCTGGCAGGATCACTAAGGCGTAACTGCTGGGGCGGTAACTCCATCGTGGCTTTAAGCATCCTGCAACCGCTGCTGCACCTGACAGACAACTGCCTGTCAGGTGTAGGAGGGGGGAGCATGTTTGAAGCCATAGGGAGGCTGGGCCAGCAGCTTTGCTTCACCTCACAGGCAGTTGGCCACTCTTGATTTCCTCAACTGTCATGAGCTCTCTGTAGTCCCCTGTAACTGTTTTTTTTTAACCTCAGAACGCTGAGCTCTGCAGCTGACCAATCAGAGAGTGGGGGGTACAAGGAGGCACCCGCCTGCCAGCTGCATAGGAATCAATGGGGGGAGCACATTTTACCCCTTTTGATCCCCTTAGGGGTTGGATTTCTAAAAATCTCTTCTTAGTGAGCATCTACATCATTTTTTTAAATTTTAAAGCAGTTTTATTGAAGAAAGAATTTTATAATTTTACCACCACCAAAATCAATTAATAATATAAAAAGCAAAACTTCACATGCACGCTTTGTCTTCTTCATCTTCCTTCTTACTTCTCCCAAAATTATTACAAAGTATTATTTATACATTTTCAAGCAGTCTTAGCTCATTATAGTAATTTACAATATATTGACAGATTACTCTTGAACTACATCATAATCATGATTAATCTCAGTCCTCGGAGACCTCAAGGGTCAGGAGGGTATAGGCCCCCCTTATGGGGACTGATTGGTCCTGGGGAAATGTATCCAGACATTCGCCACAATCCCACCACTCACCTACACCACAGTGGGAGCACTCTCCCCGAATTTGGTGTTTCTAGGTCTTTGGAATGACAATTCCAATTCTTTGGAATTGTCATTCTGTAAGTATTGTCAGGATCGTTTTCAAGTCATGATGTACCTTACCTAATGAGCACCTGCAGATAGTTACCTTTCAGCAAGATAGCTGCCAGCTGGGAACCGTCAAAGTAATTGGTTGACAGCAGACTATCTTGACAGCTGAAGATCTAGATTCAGCTTAGCCCAGTTAGATCAATTGACTGATCCTTTTGATTGGTCAGTGAATTAGGGAACTGATAGCTGAGCTAGTATAAAGTCAGGAGTGAGGAACAAGAGAGAGCTTAGGAGAAACACCAAGGAAGGATGAGGAGAACATTGCAGAAGAACCGTCTACATTACACCAGGAAGACCTCGTGGACCTGGAAGGAGAGGTCTTCACTCTCTTCAGCATGTCTACTCCTGTCAGTGTCTAGAGGCTAGTCAGTTAGGCTTATTATTTTGTCTTTGTTTCATTGTACACACCTTTCCCCTACTTGTATGTTTTTATATGGGCTATCCTTTTGTAAATAAATTTCTAATTCTGTTTTTTTTTTACACCCAGAGTAGGTTACTGGCAGTGTTCCCTCTAAGCTGAGTTAGTGTGAGCTAGCTCACAATTTTTTAGCCTTCGAGTCATACATTTTTGTCTTAGCTCAGGAAGGATGGCTCCGGAGCAACATAATTTATGCAGTAGCAAAATTGCTCACTCACAATTTTAACACCAGTAGCTCACAAAGCAGAATTTTTGCTCACTAGACTCCACAGCTTAGAGGGAACACTGGTTACTGGCCCCGAGCCCAGGTTTATTATTTATTCCAGTGTCATAGAACTATGCTACCAAAGGGGTTAATTCCCAGTTGAACATACCTAAATTTATTTATTTTTTTTGTCACCTCAGCCAATAAATATTGGGGGGACACCCCAATGTTGTGACACTTCCACTGATAGAAAACCAGTTGAAAACAGCAAGTCACCGCTCACTTCTTCTGACAAAGTGAGCAGTGATTCATGAAAGCTCATACCCTGCCATAAATTTTGTTAGTCTTTAAGGTGCCACTGGATTCTTGCTTTTTTCTACTGCTACAGACAGACTAACACAGCTACCCATCTTGAGAAAACCAGTGGAATTTATACGTACCCTTCCTCAATTTGAAAGCCACACTGGTGAGGAAAAGGTAGTTCAAGTACTGCATTATCTGTGCCAAGTTTGCAGAATAGATTTCTCAAAATGCAGAGGTCAGTCTTATGACAACACTGCCAACATGTCAAGGCATTATCAATCATGCAGAAGAAGGCTTTAGAGCAGAACTAATATGCCGTATTCATACCATGGGCTGCCCTCTCTCAATCGTGTCGGCTGCAGTGCTGATGAGTGCTGTCCAGTGGCAATAAGTTTTTTCTCAACAGCCCAGTGACCTGATACATTTTTCTCTGCCTCAGCCCACCAATTTGCAGTTCTTAAAACACATTTGGGCAACAATCATGTCTTGAAATCTTTTTCTAATAGTCACAGAGGAGTACATGCAGTGGCAACTAGTGCCATTCTGGAGTCCTACTCAAAGATTGTGGATACATTAGAAAGTACAGCTGGAGACAAGTCCCCAAGGGGAGAAACTATACAAGAGGCAGAAACGTGGTATACAAGAAGAACTAGAGTTTATATTCATGAGGACCATGTGGAATGAAGTTTTACAACACTTTCCCCACACAAGTCAAAGCTCCTCATGAAAAAGGTTTGGATTTGAAAACATGTTCAGACCTCTGTCAGTCATTAGAACACTTACTTAGAGGAATGACTTCAAAAGATCTGAAGAGACAGCAAAAGATATTTTGCCTGATGCCAGTTACACAGAAGCCCAGTCCCGCAAGCAAATCATGAAAAAGCAGGCAAATGATGGCAGTGCACCAGAAACAGTACTGAGACACATTTTGCAGGTCTAGTTAAAGGTAAAGGTTCCCTTGCCCGAAAGCCAGTCGAATCCGACTCTAGGGTTGCGGTGCTCATCCCTGTTTCAAAGCCGAAGAGCCAGCGCTGTCCGAAGACGTTTCCGTGGTCATGTGACCGGCATGACTAAACACCGAGGCGCACAGAACGCTGTTACCTTCCCACCGAAGTGGTACCTATTTATCTACTTGCAATTTCTTGCTTTCGAACTGCTAGGTTGGCAGGAGCTGGAACTAGAGACGGGAGCTCACTCCGTCATGTGGCACACTCGGGTCTCGAACGGCTGAACTACTGACCTTCCACAGCCTGCAGTTCAGCGTCTTAACGACTTGAGCCACCGCAGCCCCCAGGTCTACTTACTAAGCTATAATTGATATACTTGAAGCTTATATCAAGAAGAGAGGTGTACAAAGAAGTAGCAGGTAGATTTTCTTTTCTAAATGATATGGACTTATCTGACAAACGATATTTACATGGTTTGCAAAAGCTAGTTGACCCTGTAGACCTGAACATGAATTTCTGATAAGAACGATGGCTGTTACGCTGTTATATGTGGGCAAAGTTTAATGAAAGAGGAAATATGAAATCCAGCCACATTGATCTTCATGACATTGCTGGGCCGGAAGCAGGCGGAGCCGCGCGCCTTAGAAAGAAGACAGCCACTTCTGGAAACGCCGGGAAAAGAACACCCGTCAGTCCAGAGACCCGACCCGACAGTAACAGCAACAACAACTACAACCACCACCATAGGGGGTGCCGTTAGGTTGCCCCATCCCCATATACATACTGTGGCCCTAGTTAGGGAAAAACGGTGATTAGCACCAAAAATCTGTAAGCCGCTCAGAGACCCCTAGACAAGGGGTTCGAGCGGGATATCAAATCGAATATATAAATAAATAAATAAATAAATAGCAAAAGACAGAATACAAGTTGTATTTCCAGATGGATCAGACTCTGTATTTTTCTAACACTGGTGTTTGCTAACTGCTCTGCCAAATGCTCTTTTTCTCAGCTGAAAAGAATTGAAAACTCCTCAGAGAACAGCAATAAACTCATGTTAAACTGCCTTATACTGCATTAGACCCTTGGTCCATCAGGGTCAGACTGGCAGTAACTCTCCAGGGTCTCAGGCAGAGGTCTTTCACATCACCTACCATGTGACTCTTCTAGCTGGAAATGCCAGGAATTGAACCTGGACCTTTTGCATGCCACTCAGCCATGATACGTCAGGACAGACTAGATTCAGTTTCCATCCTGTGTATGGAAGTAGATGGGCTTTGTTGAGTCAGTTTCCATGAACTTATCCAGAATTTTGCAATCAGAAAATCTTGAAAGAAGCTATTTTAATTTCAGAATACATGTAAGTTTTGTGTCATTAAAAAAAATAAAATGTTATTTTACAGTGTAGTATTTCTATTTTGAATTACATATGGGGGCACCGTAATCTTTTCAGTGCTTGGGGCCTCTGAAGGTCTAGAGGTGATGTTTTGCCACAAGTCAAGCAGGGGGAACCCTTGCATAGTCCTGCCAACCCTATTAACAAGTTACAGTATGTGCAGTCTGTAAACAGTGTACACTTGATTTTTCTTTACACGTATGGTGAGGAATTCTCATGTCACATTTCAACACATGTAAAGTCTCAAATGCGATTGAAACCACTCATTTATACTGGAGCTGGTTACAGTTTCATTTGTAATTGGATGCATGTTGTCTCTTTCGTACAAGCTTAAAATCTAACAAACAGATGTTTGGATGTCCAAGCAGGATGTACATGTGTTCACTGTAACATGTAAACGGGACAGCTGGTCCTCATGGGAACTAAATTCCTGAAGGCTGCAAGGGCCAGATTTGGATTGGGAGGTTTCTAAGGGAACTTTGACTGCCAAAAGCTTATTACCCCCCCCCCCAAAAAAAACTTGTTGGTCTCCAACATGCTACTAGACTTGAATCTAGCTGTTCTACTACAGAACACAGCTACCCTCTGAAACAGCCAATATAAAGCTGTTACCCTTTAAGGTGCTCCACAAATCACGATGCCTTTTGGATTTTCTGCAACAAACTCCTGTAGCTACTAGAGCCTAGGTCCAGTGAAATCAACAGGCTTAAACCAGAAAAACTCTGCATAGGATTGCTCTGAAATGTGACTGCAATGGTGGGCAGAGTAATTAAAATGGGGGGTTGTGGGTGTGGCAGTAGGCCCCATTTTTCTCCTGGATTAGTCTAACCACATATCTGATGTCTACACAGGTCATTCAGCTCGGCGGCACACGCGACGCGAAGCTGACTCTGACTGACAGTCTCGTAGAGCCTAAGAAGCAATGCTGCGTAAGAATGCCAGTTTGTTCCTTCTTGTGGACCCACCACTGTGTTTCTCAGATGGTTCATGATACTGCTTTTTTCCTTGATTAAAACTGGAGGCACGCTTTGCATCCAACAAGATGTGTGCATTGTTTTTTCCTCAGAGCCACAGGGAAACAGCCACTTTGAAATGGCAGAGGTAGCTGGTCGTTTTTGCCTCCTTTTGCCCTCTCTCCCCTTCAGCCCCATCAATCTGGGAAGGGCCCCTGAATTCTGGGCAATGCCATGGTGATGCCTTTGGGATTCCCCCAATCATTCCTCTGTCCCACTTAAGAAATTGAACTAATATTTACGAAAACTCCATTGTGCAGAGGGGAAAGACCATGGTGTAGTTGTAGAGCATCTGCTTGGCATGCCAAGTCCAATTCCTGGCATCGCTGGTTAAGATATCAGGTAGTAGGGGATGTGAAAAACTCAGGACTTTGATAGACTAATTATCTGATTCAGTATAAAGCGGCTGTATGTATATGTGGGGGGGCCACGCTCTTCTCCTATGCATAACGTTTAGAAAAATGTTACCCCAGATGACATCGCAAAGAAATGTCTGGCATCAACGGAAGAAATACAGAGTGTTAAGAAGAAAGTTGTTAAAGTGGAAAAACAGCAAATGAAGCAGGAGAATAAAATTTTAATGCTTCAAATGGAAAAGTCAAACCTGACTCTTTGGTTCCAAGGTTTGAAAGAAGAGGAACGTGAGGACCTCAGAGACATTTTGGCAACAGTGTTGGAGCCACTGATTGGCAGCGAAGCGGAAAAAATAAAAGAAGAGAAGGAGGTGGCCTATAGAGCCTATTCCAATTTCACAAAGAAGAATAAGCTGCCAGCAGAAGTGGTCGTGAAGTTTACCAGACAGCGTCTCCGGAACCAAATTTTAAAAGCAGTATCAGCGACACCCTTGAAAATGGGAGAACAACCAATTCGAGTTTTGAAAGATATCCCATTTGAAATTAGAATGAAACGAAAAGAATACAAAGGATTGACTTTGTTCTTACAAAAACATCAAATTAGTTACAGATGGTTAATGCCAGAAGGACTGGTCTGTAAATATAAAGACAGAAGAGAAAAGATTGATTCTATCTTGAAGGCAAGGGACTTTTTGAAAAGGCACGCCAATACAGAAGAAGAAGCAGAACTTGCCGAGTGGATGTCGGGGAAAAGCAGCGAGAGCAGCAGTTCGGAAGGAGAGGAAGAAAAAGGAGCAGCCGGAGGTCCAAAGTATAATTTGCGAGAGACTAAAGGAAAGCATTATAAAATTTAAGGACTTATCTGGAGGTGCCAAAGAAGATATACTAACCTCAAAAGGACTTTACTAACATACTAATTGCCTGATTTGGAAAGAATAAGAAGAAACAGATGTTTCTCCAACTGCAGAAGAAGCCAGAAACTTGGATGTGGACTTTAACCTTAATACTAACAGATTACTATACCAGTAAATAACATCACTCAAAAATTTTCTTTGTCCCTCTATATACCCTCCCTATTTTTCTAAAAAGCGAAATTTCTCTCCTTTTTAGGAGAGGGAAATAAAAGTTTTATAACAAAAAAAGAAAGAAAAATGTTACCCCAGCCTAACTACTCCTTATACATGTATGAATATTTTCTACACACCTCACTTCTGATCAAATGGTCTGTAACTTGACTGATAAGCTGGAATCTCTAAGCATCCTGTTTTGTTTTAGTCTCATTGCCCTTGACAGTGCAATTCTAAGAACTCCTTCTGAGGGCGTAAGCACCACCGAATAGACCCGAGTACACTGGCTTAGCAGACCTCTTGGAGAGCCATCCTAAGCAGGTCTACCCAGAAGCCAGTCCCATTTTGTTTGATGGGGCTTACTCCCAGGAAAGCATACTTAGAATTGCAGCCTTTAGTCATTAGTTTGGGGTTTTTTTGGTATGTTTGCATTTGTGTGTGTGCCCGTGCCCGGAAGTCATGGCGACCTCTGGCAACTCCTACTGGGACACGGAGAACTTTCAGAGAAGTGGCTTGACAGCCTGCCTCTGCCTCCTGGCCCTGGTATTCTTTGGAGGTCTCCCATCCAAATACTTGCCAAGGTTGGCCCTGCTTAGCTTCCGAGATCTGACGAGATTGGGCTTGCCTGGGCTATCCAGGTCAGGGCATCTTTAATCATTGTTGACAGCTGTAAATGTCTTTACTGCATCTGCAGTAATATTTAATAACAGAAATGTATAAATAATAAAAAGAATGGCTAGCTTAGCTGCTGAGTGTTTTGGAGAAACTGGCTTTAGCTAACTTGGGGTAACAGTAACTGCTTTTGCCTTGGCCAGCTCATATTCCCAGTGTTTCACATGGGATCCATTTATTAACACAAGTCTCTTTTTCCGTAGCCAAAATTGGTCTCGGGGCTGCAGCTGGCCTAGGTAAGTTTCCAGTCAATCAGTACATTCTTCCATAATATTACTGCAAAATGGATTTCCAGCTAGAGATCCTTTCTGGATCATGTCTGCACTGAGCAGTCTTTTTTTTACCGTTAGCAATAATATAGTAATAACTAACTGTCAGGATCAGAACCCACAGCCAACAACGTAGTACACGCTTATCAAGGAAGCTAATACTTTATTGAAGAGCTATAGATGCATTAACATAGGCACTGTTAAGAATGGTGGCTGCCTCTGGGGCATAATAGGATATAGGGTATTCGTATGCACACACACACCCCACTGCCCTGGCCAATTAGGGCGCTCTGGCCGTTTGCGCTGAAGCTGGGAACCAAGCTTGCTCCCACGGTTCCCTTAGAACTAGACATCACCATCCCACCACCTACAGAACTTAGAGATAAGCGTTACAGCAGCTAAGAAGCACAGAAGGAATGCAAAGGCAATTAGAATACAACTGACCCCCTCAACCTCCATGGCAGCTTAAGCTGACACTAACCTGCTACCCGTGCTTTGCTATGGTATTTAAGTTCTGTAAATCCAGTTATAATACTGATGATGTGAAGTTTCTAACGGAGAAGATTGTAGTGTAAGAAATGAAGTGAGACATACGTACTTTTTTTCCTCTCTACTGAAGGACCTCTCTCTAGACCACATCGGTGGTTCTGCCCTCAGGTGCTAGGATCACCAGGCTGCTTAGTGAGCTCACTCTGGAGCAGGCCACATAGAACTGTCCATTTAAGAAGCAGTCATCTGTTCAGTCCACTCCTGCTGCCTTCCATAAAAGTGATGGCCTCTCTACTTGTGTTCCTGGATTGTTTTGCTCATATGGAGATTGTGTTGTTCTGAGCACCTCAGGGTGATCTTGCTGGTACTTGGCCTGTGCAGCTCAGTGACCTGCACGAGTGCTATGTGCAAATGTCTTTGCCACATTCCTAAGTTGCCTCCTCCTTGTAGCATTGGTGTATCTGGCTCAATGTTTGCCAGGAGCTTTCTTGGGGCAGTAAGAGGTGAGAGGTGTGAGGGGGAGTTGGTGTGAGGGAGTGGTGATGTGGTGGACATTTCTTCAGGTTCACGAGGGAGGCACGCATCGAAATGGCTCCTAGAAATGTCCTTTACTATCTCCCCATAAACATTCATACCCTGGCCCTGCTCCTACACCTGACAGACACCAGCCTGTGGTGTTGGGGGGATTGTATTTAAAGGCATTGGGGAGGCTGTGCCAGCAGCAGTACTAAGGCAATCCTGCTGAGCGAACCTCCCCGGTGACTGTAAGCATCCCAGCTCTTCTACACCTGACAGGCAGCTGCCCGTCCAGTGTAGGAGGGGGGAGGAGTATTAGAAGCCACTCTGGAGGTGGGGCTGCACCTGACAGACAACTGCCTGTTAGGTGTAGGAGGTGGGGGGAGTGTGTTGGAAGCCATCCCACCTCCTCTCCTACACCTGACAGGCAGCTGCCTGTCCAGTGTAGGAGGGGGAGGGGGGAGGAGTATTAGAAGCCCCTGTGCAGGTGGGGCTGCACCTGACAGACAACTGCCTGTTAGGTGTAGGAGGTGGGGGAAGTGTGTTGGAAGCCATGGGAGAGGCTGGGCCAGCAGCATTATTGAACCTCACAGGTGCTTGTTGGCCACTCCCAATTTCCTCAACTGTCATTAGCTGTCTTTTTTTTTTTAGTATTTATTTAGATTTTTATTGAAATTTTATGTCATTAGCTGTCTGTAACTGTTGGGTTTTTTTATCTCAGAACTCTGAGCTCTGCAGCTGACCAATCAGAGGGGGTGGGTGGAGGGAGAGAGCTGCACATTTCCCCCCTTTTGACCCACTTAGGGATCGAATTTCTTAAAATCCATTCTTAGCGAGCACCTACACCACGGTGGGAGCGCTCTCCCCAAATTTGGTGTCTCTAGGTCCAGTGGTTTGGCCTGGGCGTTGATTTTACGGTGAGGGGACTTTCTTTTATATAGATAGGGCGGCAGTCCTATTAGCCCAGACTTGTCTGATCTCATCAGATCTCAGAAGCTAAGCAAGGACAGTACTTGGAGCAGGGCTTTTTTTGTAGAAAAAGCCCAGCAGGAACTCATTAGCATAATAGGCCATACCGAACACAGACACTCATTAGCATATTAGCCCACACCCCATGCCTTCCCTTGGCTTGCCTGGGCAAGCTGGCCCTTGGAGGGGAGGCAGTTTAAACTGCCTTCCCTTGGCTTGACCAGGTGCCCCGCGGCTGTGGGGAGCCTGGGCAAGCCGGCCCTTGGACAGGCAGGGAAAGGCATGGGGAGGCATTTAAATGCCTCTCCGATCCTTCCAGGCCCCCCCCCCGGCCCGTCCGCCTCGGAGTCACTGAGGGGTCGCTCTCCAGGCGTTCCCTCTGTAGCCACGCACGCAGAGGTTTTGGCTGTAGTGGGTGTGGCCAACTCCGAAGCCAGCTGGAACCCCGTTCCTGTGCGTTCCTGCCCCAAAATAGCCCTGACTCGGAGACATTGTAGATGAAGGCAATGGCAACCCACCTCTGCTCACCCCTTGCCACTCGACAGCACACTTTAACTTGGTTTTTAAGAAATGAAATTATCGTAAGGCACTGTGCGTGGAATAGCCAGGAGATCCCCGGAGGGGGATAGTTTGGCTGCCGAAGCTGTAGGTCTTTTTTTGGCAGCATGTAAGTGGCCAGCGATGCTTATTTTTAGGCTGAGGGTGCTGTGACTTGCCTAAGGTCACCCAGCTAGTTTCAAGTGGGGAATCAAACCCGGTTCTCCAGATCAGAGTCTACTGCTCTTAACCACGACACCAAACTGGCTCTTTTAACTTCGTAATATTACATTTAAGAAACTTTAGGTTCTTAGTACCTGTGCTGCTTCCAGCACAGGTTTGGAAGCCAGCGGCGGCCTTTGGCTCCTGGGCATTGGCTCCTGCCGAGCAGGTAGGGTAGCTTTCTAAAAATTAGTGGCTGCTTATTTGTAGGTGGCCAGTGACCAATAAGCAGCAGGCTAGTCGTGGTGGAACATATTGTCAAGTCACCACCGCTTTAAGGCAACCCTGTAGGGTTTTCAAGGCTAGAGATGAACAGAGGTGGTTTGCCACTGCTGGCCTCTGTGGAGCAAACTTGGACTTCCTTGTGGTCTCCCATCCAAGTACAAACCAGGGTCGACCATGCAGAGATTCTGATGAGATCAGGCTACCGTGGGCCCATCCAGGTCAGGGCAAGCAGGTTAATACAGCCTCTCTAAGGGACAGTATCACAGGGACTGGGTTGGTGTTTTTTTTTTTTTGTTTTTTTTTTTGAGGTTGCTGTGATGAAGCACAGAGCTAATCTGGCAGTTCTTACAATGCAGCGGTTGCCGTCGTGGGGGTCCCTGTGGCAGTGGGAATGCTGGGTTTCACCGGAGCGGGAATTGCAGCCTGATCTGCAGCAGCGAAGATGATGTCTGCAGCTGCCATTGCCAACAGCGGAGGAGTGGCGGCTGGGGGTGCCGTGGCCACCTTGCAGTCAATTGGTATGAATACCTTTCTTGAGGAGGAGGCGGGGATCGGGCCTCTGAAGACTTGCATGTCCCAGGAGGGGTGGAGCACTTTTGCACGTTTGGGATTAGGGGAACAGAGCAGGTGCCACTGCAAGGTGGCTGGCATGAGTACTGGGGCCAATCACAAAGCGTAGCTCGGTTCCCCCCCAAACACTAGGAATTTGCAAACCAAACATCTTCCTATGATGAAGGCACCGTTCCGAATGGGTACCATCCTTGCAGACCCAAAGGTCTTCCAAGCCCTTCTGGAGCTCCTTCTGGTATGGGGAGGTGGAGAAAAGCCAGGACTTGTCTCCTTGCTGTGGGGAAGAGATGCTTTGACAAAGTAATCGGTTGGCATCGGGAAGCCCCTCAGTGGGCACAAAGATTGTCTGCCTCCAGGTGGGGCCTGGAGTTCTCCCGGAATTACAGAGATCAGTTCCCCTGGGGGGAAACGGCTCTTCTGTATGGCATCACATCCCTGCTGAGACCCCTCCCCAAATGTTGCCCTTCCCCAGTCACTGCCCCCAAATCTCCAGGAATTTTCCACGCTGGAGTTGGTAACCCTTTCTTGCACCATGTTGAGGATCACCTTATTCTGGTAATGCTGTCCCTTAATCTTCTTTCCAGGAGCAGCGGGTCTGTCATTCGCTACAAAAGCTGCCATAACAGCGGGAGGAGGATTGCTGGGTGCCATTCGGAAATGAAGGATGCAAAGAGAGCAGTTCTCTTTGCCCTCTTGTAAGTCCAAAACTGAATCCTTCCCCCTAGATATGCAGAAATGTGCAATGCTTGACTTGCATTAGGAACACTCCCAGGATGTGCTCTGCTCATGTCTGTGCTCTCCAATGGTTTTGCTAAAACCAGTAAAGCTTTGATGAGAACTTTGTGTGTTGACTTCATTTATATACCCTGCCTTTCTCCCCAGTGGGGACCCAACGCAGGTTACACTATTCTCCTCTCCTCAATTTTATCACCACAACAACCCTGTGAGGTAGGGTAGGCTGAGAGTGTACGACTGACTGAAGGTCACCAGCAAGTTTCCACAGCAGTGAGGATTCAGACGTGGGTCGTTGGGATCCTAGTCTGGCACTCTGACCCCAACACCAGAACAACACTGAGTGGGTGAACAGGAAAGTAGATTCCACAATGCCCTCCAACAGATGAGGAGGCGTTTCCATTATTTTCCAAGCAAAATTTCAATTTCAAGTGTTCGATAAAAATAGTGTGGAGAGAGTGGACTGGGGGGAAATCTCTTCCATAATACTAGAACCTGGGGGTCATGCAGAGCAGCTAAAGGGTGGGGGGTTCAGGACAGACAAAAAGGAAGTATTTCTTCAGATAGCGCCTAGTTTGTGGAATTTGCTGCCACAGGATGTGGTCATGGATGTCAGTTTGGAAGGGGGAGTGGACAAACCCCTGGAGGAATTGGGCTATCAATGGCTGCTGATCATGAAGGGTATCTGCTCCCTCCAGTACCTGAGGTAGTATGCCTCTCTTTAAATCAATCTCCCATCATCATCATGGGAGAGGGTTTTCTCCCTGTGCTAGGGAACACAGGCAGGGGAATGCTGTTCCAGTCTTCCTGTTGATGGGCTTCCTAGAGGTAGCTGGTTGGCCACTGTGTGAACAGAGTGCTGGACTAGATGGGCTGATCCAGCATGGCTCTGCTGATGTCCTTGTGTGAGCTTATATGTGGATTTCTCCTGGGGCAGCTTTAGTGGTTCTGTGCTAGTCTGGAGAAACTAGGAGAATACCCCCCCCCCAAGGTAAACAGGATCTTGCATAAGAGGTTTTTATTTGGACATGCCATTCAGACATTAAAGAACAATTTACGGGTGCGAGGTGTGGATCGAAGGTGTATCTGACATCCTTGACTCACCCCTACACACTTTTCTGAGGGAAATTGCGGCGGGAACCGCACTTAGGGTTGAATTTGCCCAACCATCAATTGAAAACAGAGCCTGGCTCGCAGCTTTCAAACAGTTTGTGAAGAAGGGCCCCCAGGGAGGCAGCACAAATAAAGTGGGCTTCTCACATTTAATCCCCTGCGACACCCACAAGAGCAGTCGATCAAAGTTAATTACACAGAAATTAACAACCTTGGGGATTGATATAACACCTCGATTGTTAAACGAGTCACTCAGAGAAATCAAAACTAAAGGATCTTGACTTCAGCCGTACCCTCCAAAGAGTTCGACCTACTTGCTCTGGTCTGTCCTTGGGTCTTCCCCCCCCCCCAGGCTATCCCGTCCTATTGCTACAATTTAAAGATCCCAAGACAATGCAGAGCCTTCACCTTGGCGAGACTTAATTCCTTCCCCTCTAAGGTGCTCTCTGGTCGTTTTTTGGGACTTCCGTTTTTGGAACGAGTTTGCGACTGTGGAAAAGAGATGATAGAAACTATGGATCATAGAATGCTTTTCTGTCCTAAGTGGAATAAGGAGAGTGAGAGATATATCATTCCCGTTATGAGAAAAGAAAAGCTTCCCCTCCTTCCTTGGGCAGTTTCAGTGCTATTGTCTGGTAACTCCCCTGACAATCAAGCCATGACTATAGTGGCTTCCTTTCTAGCCGTGGTGATTAAGAAAACAAATCTCCCTGAGTTTAATTAGTTTACTGCTGATAAGAAGAGAAGAAGAGATTGGATTTATACCCCGCCCTTCACTTGGAGTCTCTGAGCGGCTTACAAACTCCTTTCCCTTCCCCTCCCCACAACAGACACCCTGTGAGGTGGGGGGAGGCTGAGAGAACTCTGACACAAACTGCTCTTTTTCAAGGACAGCTGTGCCAGAGCTTGTGACTGACCCAAGGTCACATCAGCAGGTGCAAGTGGAGGAGTGGGGATTCAAACCCGGTTCTCCCAGATTAGAGTCCGCACACTTAACCACTACACCAAACTACACTGATAACTGTCGACCTATATACAAATTTGACAATTTTTTTAAAAAATCCTGTACAGTTGCTATGGCTTTCTTGCTAATGCAATAAAGATTATTATTATTATTATTATTAAAGAACAAAGTCAGAAGGATTGTGAGGCCCTGCTTAGCTGCTGTATATTTGTTGGGGGTGGATGGGTTACTGCCACCAGAGCATCCACTCCTCTGATGACTGACTTGGCCTCCTCAGGAACAATGTGTCCTAAGACAGGTCAGCAAACACAATGCACCATTAAGGCTCCTGAAAATGTCTGTTTGGGGGCTTACGAAAGCCAAAAACCTTCTGATCTCTTCCATATGAGCACCCTTCTCAACTCCAATTTCCAGTTGTCGAGGGAGGGACAGTCAGAGGGAGGGCAGGAAGAGGCCAAGTACACCTCCATTCTACTTGGATGTCTCCTGTGGAGAGACCCTTTCTTCAGGAGGGGTACCCAGTAATCTTCCACTGAGTCTGCACCTAGACCAGTTGAGAACCTGTTCCTCAAGAAACCTATTTTGCATTGATCTTGCTGCTCGTATTGGGTTTTATTTCTGGGAGACAGTTTTGGTCCCTTGGAGCTTTAAAGGCAACTAGTCTGGTTTTTCCACCCACCCACATCTAAACTACCCAGCAGAAGTGAGCTAGGGGAAACATAAAAAAGAAACATCTGGGAGTATGCAGTGAGCGTGAAGGAAGAAGCTAGGCATTAGGACTCCCCTCCCCTTACGGAAGGCACACATGCCTTCCGTGTGCTGATGGAGCACCAACCTAGAGGCAGAAGCTATGGCTGCTAAGGAATTAAAGCAGATTCCACGAAGGCTTGCAAGTGGCTGAAGAACTCTCTCAGCGGGGATGAATGGGAAATACATCCCATCCCTTCCTTGGGAGCGATGATGGACCTGGTGGCACCTGGTATTTCTGGCCACTGTGTGACAGAGGGTTGGACTGGATGGGCCATTGGCCTGATCCAACATTGACTTCTCTTATGTTCTTATGAAGCTGAAGCACTACTTTCCCCTGGTACAAGGCCCTCTTCAACGCAGAACCCTCTTGCAGGAGGGTATGGCGCTTTGCACCAGGAGTTCCACCATCCGCAGAATAGATCCCTGGGATCCAACCCAACATCTGGCCCATGGAGATTTTGTGCTGAGCCCTTTTCAAACCCAGCACTGTCTGAATAATTTCATTCTGAATGACAATGGGTACACATGCTGAGGCACTTTCATTTCTGGTATGTGGGCTGATTGAAAGCCAGCTAAATATACCCTTTATGATGTTGCTGGCTGTGCTGTAGAATGAGTCATCTCGCATCTCTCTGGCAACCAGTGTACACCTTTGAGCACATTTCACTCCCATGGGCGTGTCAGCCATTACAGGATTCTTGATGCTTTCTTAGCTACAACTGCAGGTAAGATCATCCAAGGAGCCCACCCCTGACGTTGGGCTCCTTCCCTAAAAAGGTAGCCGTCTTGTATCATGCATCTCTGTGCGTCCCTCACAGGCACACCACTACTGAATCTGGTTAGGCATGTATTGCTGCTGCACCCATGAAGCTGCCTTATACTGAGCCAAACCATCCACTCATCTACCAAGGTCAAATTTGTCTATTCTGGCAGTGGTTCTCCAGGGTCTTGGGTCAAGGTCCTTCATATCACCTACCTCACCCTTTTAATTGGAGGTGCCAAAGATTGAACCTGGGACCTTCTGCCAGAGAGCCAGTTTGGTGTAGTGGTTAAGAGCAGTGGACTCTAATCTGGAGAACCGAGTCCGATTCCCCACTCCTCCACATAAGGCCAGTCACAGTTCTCTCAGAGCTCTCAGCCCCACCTACCTCACAAGGTGTCTGTTGTGGGGAGAGGAAGGGAAGGCAATTGTAATCTGCTCTGAGACTCCTTTGGGTAGTGAACAGTGGGGTATAAAAACCAACTCTTCTACATGCCAAGCACATGCTCTACCACTAAGCCATGCCCATTCCTGTATGTAGTCATAACCTATAGCAGCCATTTGAACTTTGCTTTGCAGTCAGAGAACAGGAGGAGACTCTGAAACAGCCATGTGGAATCTGGGCCATGAGAGCTACTTGCTCAAGAAGGGATCTGAATTCAGATCTCTCTCTGGCATAAGTGTACCATGCTGTCAGTTACCACATACTTTGTCCCTGCAGTTTCAGTGGTGCACTGTCAGGCTAAACTTACCCCCCACCACAGGGAGGGGAAACAAAGGTCTGCTACTCAACCCAAATCAGTTCCTCAAATTAGTATATGTTAGTATGAACTGAATTATAGGGTCGTTACAAAGCTGTTGACAGACTTTTGAAGGCTTAGAGTTTGTGTCTGAAATCCTTCAGATTTGACAGGAATTGCAAGATAGCTGCAAACTGCATCTGATCTGCCCTTTCCAAGCCTTAGATCATTTTTATCCAACTGTCAGCCATTTCCCCTCAGGAATTAAGAGCATGCCATCCATCTATGACATGAGAGCCAGTACGGCATCTCTCCCTTATAATAAAAGAGTTTTGGGTGCCAAAGTTCTAAAATGCACTCCTTTAGTGTTAGGCCGAAAAAACTGCCACTCGGAAGACACTGGCTGGGTTCATTGGCTGCTTTGTGCAGTCCCGGCCAGCGTTCCAAGGTCATTTACATATGGAAGCTGATTGGACTACACTCCATTCCACCCCTGAAACTCACCCCCCCCCCCGCAAGGCAGTTGGAATTTTCAGTTGGGAATGATGTCAGCTGCTCCCTAGGCAGAGGCTGTGTGTGTGTGTGGGGGGGGTTGTAAAACTTAAGACAGACAGGCAGATAGGGTTGCCAACTCCAGGTTGGAAACTTCCAGGATATTTTAGGGATGAAGCCTGCTGAGGGTGGGATTTGAGGAGGAGGAGGAAGAGGGGGACCTCAGACAGATACAATGCCATGCTGCCCACACACCAGACAAGCTGTTGCCAGT